AGAGAGAGAGAGAGAGAGAGAGAGAGAGAGAGAGAGAGGGAGAGAGAGAGAGAGAGAGAGAGAGAGAGAGAGAGAGAGAGAGAGAGAGAGAGAGAGAGAGAGAGAGAGAGAGAGAGAGAGAGAGAGAGAGAGAGAGAGAGAGAGAGAGAGAGAGAGAGAGAGAGAGAGAGAGAGAGAGAGAGAGAGAGAGAGAGAGAGAGAGAGAGAGAGAGAGAGAGAGAGAGAGAGAGAGAGAGAGAGAGAGAGAGAGAGAGAGAGAGAGAGAGAGAGAGAGAGAGAGAGAGGAGAGAGAGAGAGAGAGCAGCCGAACTGCTGGATGTAAACAAACCTAATTTCATGCTTTTTTTTTTTTTTTTTATGATTAGCCCACCCGGCATAGGTCACTGACCCACAGCCTGAGGGGCAAAAATTTAATACTCCTGTACACACAACAATTAATTCAGATAAAAAAAAAAAAAAAAAACTGCCTATCTACCTATTGGACAAACTAAAATCGTCTTCGACCACGGAGTTTCCGACCACAGAATGCCGGACTAGAGAGGTACAACCTGTGTGTATATATATATATATATATATATATATATATATATATATATATATATATATATATATATATATATATATATATATATATACACACAGGTTGTACCGATTCGCTTAATTATACGACTTACGCCCAATGGTACATTTTCTTTAATTTGCTTTGACCGTGCGTCTATATGGTGGGAGCATACAACTGCGACTGGGACCGAAATTTTAAATGACGCCACAGGATTTTGGTATACCGAAACGTCATTCCGGCGAGAGGGAGGTGTCTGCATGGAATTCAATTGCGGAGCTTTGTTTGTTTAATATCGATCCTATATACTGATCAAGGCCAGAACTTTCGCATATTAGGTATGACTCGACGAGCAATGACTGGAAAAGGTAAAAGTGAGAGCGGTAAGTACTCAAGGAAAAGAGACAGGCAATTACTTTTGGGATGAAACTGCATAACAACACAGTATGAGAAATTGCAAAAACAGTAGCAACGATCTCACGCCATCTAGGTTTCTAATAGACTCGACTATATCCACTATTCTGAAGGACATGAAATGATTCAGAAGTAGTGAAAGGAACAATCTATAAAGGAACTATAATAACAAAGAAAAGACAAGGTCCTATCCACGATATGGAAAAATTATTGGTGATATGGATAGAAATAATTGTGATGCAGCAAAGGCAGTAAATTTATGTTCAACCATACAGTATAAAGCAAGAAGCCTGTTCCAAAGCTTCCGAAGGAGCAGGCAGGAGATGAATAAATGTGATCAAACCTTACAGGAAGTCAAGGGTGGTGGTTTGATAGATTTAAAAAAAAACGCCACAGTTCTGGCTAACAGTGTTAAGGTGAGGGAGAGCAGTTAGTACGATGTTGCTGCCTAAGCGGCGAGGAAAGTAGATGATGTGATTAGAAGGGAATTATTTGCTGCATAAATATTCAATGTGGATGAGATGCCTGACATTAGGAAACGCATGCCTGACCGACATACATCCACAAGAGGCAAAAATGCCCGGATTCAAGGCATTCATGAAATTTACACTCTGTTGGGGGAATGTTGCTGGTTTCGCTAAAGCCCTCATGATCTATCATTCAGAGAACCCCAGGGCTTTAAACATGTCAGCAAGCACACACTGCCAGTGCTTATCGCAGCAATGAAAGCCTGATGACCCTAGTTCTATTTGAGGATTGGTTCATGACTTGTTTCTTATCTCCCCACGAGCTAAGTGAGGTTGTTCAAAATGATTCCATTCAAGATTTTACTGATTTTTGATAATGCTCCGGACACCCACCACACCTGGACGAGACATGCAAAATCTCTGATGTTAAGGTAGTGTAATATGCCACCCACTACCTCTATCATCCAAACCCATGGATCAAGGTGCTATTTCTGCCTTTAAAGCATATTATTTACGCATCGACTCAGCCAGGCTACTGGCTGTTGCTGCTACTGAAGGTGAGAAACGCCAGACAGTTAAAGGAGTACAACATTTGTCATGTATAAAGAAACATTAATGCAGATGGGATCAGGTTACAAAACGACAGATGAATGGAATATGGAAGAAAATCCTGAAAAGATATGCGTGAACAAAGCATGATTTAAACAGCAGTTGGCTTTTGGATAGTGAACAAGATAGTGGACTTAGTAAACAGCTGGAGTTAGAAATTGATACCGAAGATGTTAATAAAGTTTGGTTGGAAAGCGCGAGAAGAGCTCAGTCAATGCAGGATCTTATTGAACTAGATGCACAGAAAGCGTGAGAAGAAGAGAGACAAATGTAGAAGAAGAGCTCTGCACTTCTCCAAGGGCAGAGGATGCAACACAAAGCAATGCAAATGTTTACGACATGGATCAAAATATGAGCTGCTATGCCAAAGACAGAATGATCCAAGATTCACTTTTGTTTAAGGCCAGAGAAATTTATAATGAAAGAAAAAGAAAATCAGCAGTCTAAATTGGACACCTATTTCAAGAAGTCCCCCAGTACTGGCTCACGCCCACCAGTGCTGCCTTCACCTCAAGATGATCCAATACCTTCAACCAGCAAGTTATCACAGTACATAAACCTGTCTGAAGGAAGCGACATTGATGACCACCAGCCCTAAGGTTCTTCTGCTTCTTCCAATAATATAGTCTCGATGTATCCTGTAAATAGAAAACTATGGGGGCCCTGTGTGTATCTTAGTTGACTACATTTAAGGTAAGTGCTCAGTCATTGTATCCATTATTCCTCATTATTTATTACTTTTACTGTACTGTATCCATTCTCATTATTTTTACGTTTAGTGTACTGTAGATTATTGTAGATTTTAAAAGCTTGAAAAAATTTGTGAATTTTTTTTTTTTTTAAATTTTTATCTATATCGACTTACGACCATATCGGACTTACGACCTGATTTGTCCCTAACCCCGTCAGAAGTCAAGTTTAGATATATATATATATATATATATATATATATATATATATATATATATATATATATATATATATATATATATATATATATATATATATATATATATATATATATATATATATATATATATATATATATATATATATATATATATATATATATATATATACATATACATATATATATATATATATATATAGCTGATTTTGCATATTTTTAGGAGTGTTTCTGACTTTATGCATTTTTGGGCTTTACTTTGTATGTACTTTTTCTGTGAGTTGGAACTAATTGTGTTTGTTAATCAAGGGACCACTGTATTATTTTTGCATTTTCGACTTACGACCAATTCGACTTACGACCTGGATTTGAGTCCTTAACCCCGTCTTAAGTCGAGGAGCAGCTGTAACATCTAAATGTTAATAGATAAAAATCAAAGCTTGTGAAGAAAGCCAGCTTCCTCCACAAAGGCAAAAACGTCCCATCCCTCACTACCCACTATTCCCAGCATTGAGAACATGATGTTGTAAGTCTGTCCATGAAGCACTACAAAATCCATGGCTCGTCACTCCTCTACTCTACACAATCCTGAAACTCTGAGGACCGAGCTGCCATAGAAGACATCCCTGCAAACATTGTGGCAAAAAGCTCAGCAATTTCTTGAGGAGTAGCAAAAGAGCTGCCAACATTAGCCCTGAAAACTGGTATTTTCTGCACACATCACCATACCTGGGACAAGGGACTTTTTACATTTTGACAGGAGACATAAGAGGAAAAAGAGTTTACATGCTTGAGCTGTAGCCCATTTGTATTCCGCATGATAAAATTCCGTTCTATGATGCCGGTAGTGACCATAGGCTCTGCACCGCTCAACAATTGCCTGTCTGCACTCCGACCACCAAGGAACAGGTTGCCGAGTTACACAACCCGAGGTCCGAGGAATGGTACAGTGACCAGCCCATTGGAGGAGTGTGGGGAAGTATTCAAGTGCATCATTTACAGAGGGACAGTCTCCCACATACCTATCTACCTTTGTTAGTTCCTTTAAAAAGTCCCAGTCAACATTGTTTTACTGCCAATGGGGAACCAATAGTGTTGGGAGGACCTCCTGGGACGAAAGTAGGATAGGATAGTGATCTCTTCCTTTGAGGTTGTCTATTTCCCTACATTCAAGATCCGGTAGAGAGTCTTCTGAGCACAATGAGAGATATATGGCTGTAGTCATGTCAGTTTGGACATGATAGTGAATGGTATCGGCAGTATCTAATATGCCCAGGTCCATTTCTTAAATGATTGAATCAATTAAACCTACCCTTGAATTAACCATTGTATCACCCCAGAGGCTGCAGTTCCTCAGCTGTATTTCAACCTTCACTGGGTAGGATTCATAAGAAATTGGGATGAACATGTAAAAACTTGATCTGTGCAAGATGTTTTTATGGTTGCAGTGAGAAGCTACTCCCAAGATGATGATAATTCCTCACCCCACTCATCTGATCATGAAGATTATTTTTCCTTCATTAAGAAAGCATCAAGTAGTTCTGGAGCTAAAACTCTGGAAATAAAAGGTTTAACACATCTGAAGGATCCTGACACTAATGACAAGAGTCTGCATAATCATCTGTAAGTTCAATCTATGTTCATGAGGTTCAACACTACAGTGCCTTCTTCAGCACCAATAGAATGACTTTTTTCTTTTGGCCAGTTTCACCCATTCCCCTAAGTGGGAAAATAATCTGACCAACTATTGGAAAGCCTTGTACTTTTGAAGGCCAATGGCTGCAGCTAATAAGCTACTTATGATCACTACACACACCTTAATATAAATAGAGTCAGGAAAATTCACCGATATGAAAAGACCTGTTATTGCCCAAACTTCAAAATGTATTTACTGCACAGTATATTATTTTGAAAGAGACAATATCAAATTAAGGTAGGAGTAAATGGTAGGAATTATTTCTTTCATCTGAGAAGTCACAAATACAAATCCAGACTCTTTTTGTACCACTTATACTGTTGACAGTGAAGTATAAAATGAACATACCAACGACTGCATTGTGAGACTTCCTTACAGTCCCAAATACATCTGTGATGATACAGAAAATTGTTGGTGTTCCCAGGGTTGATGGGAGAGACAGAAGAACAGCTTGAGTGTATGACAGATTATGTGGTGATATCTCACAGTCAAGCAATATAAGCCAAGTTTTTCTTCTCGCTGCCATAACAACCCGACGGCGAATTTCCTGATAAAGTAAATGCATTAATACACTGTATACTCTACTACATAATCTGCATCCTGTGATTTTCTCCTTAGACCAGTGATAACCCATAATACCATGTATTTATTATTGTTGTGCATTATTAATCCTTACTATTTAAGAGAGGTAACATTAAATTAATATTTGTATACCGTATACTATACTCGTGTATAAACCTACCCCATGAATGGTTCAACCGATGATTTTTTTTTTTAAACCTGAGTTTTCATATACCTTGAGTATAATTCAACCCTAGCTTTTAAAAATTTCTCGGTATAATCCTGGACATACTTTTTAGCAACACACCAGATTCACACCAATGCATCTTGGCCATAACCACCACCACCACCACCACCACATCTGACACTATGAGCAGTGTTAACAACTCTGAAACTGAATTCCTGCTGGTTACAAATTCCTATGAAGAATATATAGTAGAACCTTGATACATACACCAGACTAATAGGGGCAAACCCCAGTCCAGAACATGCAAAAGTCCGCAAAAAGCATATTTATGAGGGGTGAGTCTCTACATAACACTGTTTATCTGGACTGCTTCAAGAAAATCAGTATTATGTTTTTACTGTGCTTCAACAACTAAGGTCTTTAAAGGCATAACAGGGTTAGTAAAAAATAATTACAGGTATCCCTTGTTTAACTATGGGGTATTGCATTCCTGTAAATCTAACGTTAAGCAAAATTATTGCTAAACGATGAATAACAGCAAAACCAAAGAGCGAACAACAGGTTCAAACAGCAGAGTGGTAAACACTGAGTACAGAACTGCACTCTCTAAAACTAGTATTAAATGAGTTTGTTACAAATGGTTTCAAAGTTAAATGATTGATATATTTACTCTAAACTCGTATATACTGTATATGATGTGGTTCAGAGTTAAACTATTTAGTGAGTAAAAGATGAGCCTAATTCAAATAAATTTCAAATTGCATACAGGCATCTCACAGGTTACAGAAGGGTTCCATTCCTGAACATTTTTCCTAATCATGAAATTCCATAATGCAGGACCATTTTTCCCATTGACTCCCATTATAACAGAGTGATTCAGCAAAGAGTACATTAAATTGGAGGATGAAGTCCTTGGATAATTCTAAACCACAATGTCTCTCTGGTAAAATGTCACATTCTGCATAGTTTCCATGTTACAATACATTTAAGATGTTGTATTAATGAGAGCGAATTTGAAGTGAAAACCCTGTAGGTTTTTGTAATCCTTTATTCACAGATCTCTACAGTGTGACCCTTCTTTGTTACAACCTAAAGGAAATGTTCAAAGTCGCCCTCTTCTGCCTCAATGCAGGCCTGTACACGTCGTACCATTGATTGTCTGACGTGTTCCAGAATGCCTGGACTATGTTTAATTTGCTCGCACCTGTCACGAACACGTGGGCATATGCAGAATCTGACATTTTACCAAAGAGACATTGTGGTTTAGAATAATCCAAGGACTTCACCCTCCAATTTAATGTAATACTGCATAAGGATATAATATGAATGAAAATAAACAGCTTTAAACATTTACAATGGTCCCCCGGTTAACGAGCGCCTCAGTTAACGAGATTTCGGTTAACGAGATACCTTCCATAAGATTCTTAACTTCGGTTAACGAGCAATCCCTTGATTAACGAGTTTCTTACGAGCCGACCTCAACATGTTTTCGCTTACATTTGGCGGTCCACCAGATGTAGTATTAGTCTGCCAATACAGTAATCGGTTCTAGGGCTTATATTCCTTACCATTTGAGTAAACATCAAGAAGTTTATACTATTCAATAATTTTAAAAGTTTAATATTATTTTTTTTTTAGTCATTTTAACAATTATTGAACATAATTGAAGGTAAGGAAACTAGTTTTATGCGTGCCATCCAGCCTGTCAACACACCAAACAGGCGCCAGTCTCTCTGACTTTTCAGTGGAGGTAACATCTTGCTTGAGACTCTCTTCAACTAAATGCATTTTTTCTGTGTTTGCAAGCAAATTATTGGTTATTTTGAAATTTATTTTACATATTGACAATATATAATGCAGTGCAGTGTTGATTTAAAGAAAATAATCTTGAATTACACCAAGAGAACTAAAATTTTATGGGTGAAATGGTACCATGGGGGTGACTTCTCTTCCACCCCAATGCCTTCTCTTCTCCCTTCTCCTCCACCCCCATTCTAATTCCCATCATCATCATCATCATCCAGGAGCCTTCTACATACACACCTCAAAGTAAGTTTACTTTTCTACCTTTTTTGTTGAATTTAAGCAATTTTCGGTGAGCTGGAACCAATTACCCAAAAACCCATTGAAACAATGGTTTCGGTTAATGAGTTTTCGGTTAACGAGCAACCTTCTAGAACGGATTGTGCTCGTTAACCGAGGGACCACTGTACAATGTTTCATTCATGGTGTAATATGACAATAAATACACACACGAATTTAATTCACCAGAAACGATGTTAAGTGCTGCATGAGGTGGCGAGGTGAGGTGGAGCGATCGAAGTTACCTCCTTAAAACATCAACTTTATTCTCCAATGGAACTCCTTTATGGAATCTTTAAGCACCACTGCTTTCACTTGAACTTGATGGCCTTTTCCCACTCATCTTGAATAAGGGTACACAGTAACACAGATGCAAAACTGAATAGAAGCTGGAAAACGAATTCAAACTGAGCAATGCCATTGTTACTGTGCTGGCTAGGTGGACACCATTTTGTAGCTACCACCATGAATCCACATGAAATATATTTTATAATATCGGTAAAATTTGTTGTTCTATACTACAGTATATCGATTTTTTTCTTTTGAAAAACATTATAAATTAACCAAAATTCCGTAAGTGCAAATACAGTCCTGAACACAGATGCATAACTGAACACAAGCTAAGGAAAGAAATAACTGAGCAGTGCTATTGTTGTTGTGCTGGGTAGGCGAGCCGCCCTCCAACTATCTTTTAGCAACCACCCAGAACCTACATGAAATAAACTTTAAAATTTGGGTGAATTTCTTTGCTATATATGGCAATTTTTTTTTTAAATATTCAAATTTACCCAAATTCCATAAGGGCGAATTTTTTGTTGTATCCCAAATTTTTTGGTCATAATTTCTAAATTCCATAAGGGCGAATTTCTGTAACCCAGGTTTCCGTAATGCAAGGGTTGCCTGTACAGTACGGTACTTAAAAACTGAACAAAAATTGCCATGATGAACAATAAAATTTACACATAGCATATCACAAAATACAATAGTACCTACAGTATTTTTTTTATATCATATTTGCCACTTCTCAGCTTACTAGCCATTTGGGCGGTTTATCCAGTGTTAGTACAGGAGGAAACCGGGGACCGCGAAACCTGTGGTGTTTGGTCGGGTCACACTGGATAACACCCTTCTCACGTGTGTCCGGGGCGAGGCTCTAAAAACCTTGACATATTGGTGAGAGTTATGCGTGTTACCGCTGGACCACCAACAAAAAATAGTTCCTCCCATAATCAAACCATCCTCTGGGTGATGTGACACATTTAAGCTGGGCCATCACCCAGCTGACTCAGAGACGTGTGGCTGCTGCAGGGCTGCACTGTGTGTGTGTGCCGTTTTGTCACCTTGGGGAACGGAACCCGTTCGTAACCTGGGTACCCCCTGTATATATATACCAGGTATATTAAAATAAATAGATGTGCCTATAGGTTGTTTCATTGTAGTTCCTTATGCACCAAGATCAACATTCACATTATTCTGGTGGGTGTCTCATAAGTAAGACAAATGCTGTAACTGTAGGAAAAATCACGTATTCACAGACTGCTTCACTCATCTTCTATTAAATGCCAAAAAGCATTCACATTTTACTTCAAAAAATTATTAAGGTGGATTTGTTTCATAAATGGGAAAAAGACTGTGATTGTAAACTGACAATATCCTAAGTTGCAAGTGATGATAAATTGTTTCACTGTTCATGCTAATACAATATTAACATTACCTTTCAGTTAGGTGAAATCTAAATTTTGGTGGGTTGGCCCGTAGAAATATTTCCTAAATCTTAATGCAGCCTCTGATTGAGGAAAGGTTGCCCATGACTATACTAAAACATACCATGTTCGGGTGAGCTGGCCAGGGGGCAAATGTCATAGGGGAAGTTGTCTGATGAAGGGTAAGTCGAATATCAATACTGTATCACAATATGAAAGTGACCAACAAAATATATGATAAATGATATGATAAAACTTGGAGATTTTAACTATAGACAAACTTCAATAAAATTGTCCTCAAAATTTTTTCAATACATGGTATAGCATATGCAAAATCTATTGTTTTCAGTAGAGGTAGCCATAATCTAGATAGGGTATGCACTGCATTTATTGGATTTTGTTTTTCTTTTGACATTTATAAGTTCCCTGAAATAAAGTGAAGACCTCCATTTCCATTACTGTCACATCACTTTTATTTTTTTAAACTGTTTAAGTAAACAGTTGTAAAATGTAATTAATAGAGAAAAAATTCTTCTGGGGAAGACTTACCTGTTGAGAGGCAGTGGCAAGAGAAAGGAATGTAAGTTTATAATACAGAAGACCAGCATCTCTTGCTGCTTCCATCAACACACGAGGCGGGTTGGCTCCCCTGCTTACATTTATCTGGTGGTGAACAAATATTTACAAAATTAAATTTGATAGATTTTAAAGAATAATATAATATTTCTAAATAAATACAGGACCTTCAAAACTCTCTAATTTAAACTAACCTGAAGAATGTCAATAATTCCGCTCCTCTTTGTTTTGTGCTTCCTCGAGTGAAAGAGAATTGCTTGTGTCAACCTGCGGGTAGTTAATGAATTGCTAAATTTCTTCCATATGTCCTCTCAGAAACATTGCTGTTGTAAAGCCATATTCAACAGTATTATATCATACATTCACAAACTCTAGTTAGACATTCAAGTGTAAAAATATTTTCATAAAAATGAAAAGCAAAACATTGTGATGATTGAATTGCTCATTTTGCTCAGATTTTGCTTTGTGTTTGGGTAATCTTCTGTGACATAACATGTAGTGATTGAGGATGTATGGCATATTAGTTTCCCTACTTCAGTAAATATTAAAAAGTTATAATACCAAGCATATTTAACACTGGTACAAATACATTAAATTATTCTAGAATGAAGACTAAATTCTCCAGCAACTATGTGAATAGTTTAAGGAAAGAAGTTTAAACATATCTAGAATAATAAAAAGTACATCTGTGTTTCTCAAGACAAAATGAATATAATGAAGTGATTAGCAATATTTACACATTACTATACTGTACTTTGAACACAAACCAATTCAACAGAAAACTCCCATACTATTCCCTTTTCCACTTTCAAACATGGTTCATCCATGTATTTATCAAATAACTGTGTCAAGTGCACAAATCTTTAAACATAATTCCTGAAATAGAAAGACTTGGACTTACATCCCAGGGTCAGATTTCAAGACAACATTTCCCATAGTTAACACTACCAGCTCTATCATGGCCTCCACCAGCAGGTCCTCTCGCAGATGACGTGACAGCAGAACACGCTGTGCTGCCTACAACAAAATATACAACATTACTGTGTTAAGGAGATTGAAATGATTGTTTGATGTAGATAATTTCAAATGTAGAAAAAATGCTGTCTTGGCTATTTTTTAGTAAGCCACACAAAAAACAAGCAAATTCTATCTATATACAGGGGTGCTCATTATATGTTGGGGATGTGTTCCAGAGAAAAGCAACTTACAGTATAGTGAAACATTTTATAATGAGAATTAATGTCATTGGGGGTATAATAAAGGTATCCCTCATTTATTGATTGTGATGCGTTTCTGAAAAAAAAATCACTAAATGAAATGATCATTAACTGAGGGAAAACGAGAAATAATTTCCGAAAACACATTTAATCATTTGGGGTTGGGTGCGGGATTTTTTTTCAGGAAAATTTATTTTTGTTCAAGCACGAATGCGACGTCAGCAATGTTACCTAGGTATGTTAATTCCTAGCCAATTCACCAGGCCAACATACAAGCAATTAAAACATCTAATAATTATTTAATAGATAAAACAGTAAAACCTCGATTAACCAACCCTCGATTAACTGACTTTCAGATTAACCGTCAATCCCAAACCCCTAAAAAAAAAAAAAAAAAAATTACAAGGATTAGCCCACCCGGGCACAGGTCACTGACCCACATCGGGGCCTGGGGGGCGATAATGTAAAAATATTAATAATGTTATTGATCATAATAATAGTATTATTAATAATGATGATAATAATAATAATAATAATAATAATAATAATAATAATAATAATAATAATCATAATAATAATAATAAAGAACCATAAAGAAATGCAAAAATGAAAAAAAATCAAGAGTGAGAAACAATGTACCTGTATGTAAGTTGTGTTTTCAATAGTAAGAGAAACTGTGTGTATATGAGGCAGAAAGTCAGATCAGCAACCTGGGACTTGGTCACAATTTTTGTGATGACATATGTTCTTTGACTTTTCCATTTTTTATTCACGGTTTCTATGCTGGTTCATATTTATTTACTAAAGTGGTTAATATTTTAAAGCAAATTCTATTTAAATATGAATGGCAAATGAACAAAAATGAATAGAGGGACTTAAATGAGGTAGGTTAGGGAAAGGTACTTTGAAAATGTATGTTTTATTTCCGTAGACTTTATGTACTGTTAACCGACCTTTTCGATTATCCTTCGGCCCCTTCCCCCCATATGTGGTCAGTTAATCGAGGTTTTACTGTAGTAGGAGGACACATTGCTACCTGGCATTTAATTGCAATTCTCAAAACCACCTCCTTCACCCCCCACCATACGCATCACAATCCTCATCTCTTGCCTGACGATTCAGCTATAAATGTACACAAAGGAAAGCTCCACGAATTTGTGTTCTAATTGCTGAAATACTCACCTCTGCTAGGATATTATATACGGTATTTGTACTTAATAGCACAGTGAAGACGTAGAGTGACTTTTATTTTGGTATGTCTCTCATTTATTGTACAGTATTACCCCGCCTAACGCGGTTTCACTTAACGCGTTTTATCATATACGCGGTGCCTCGCCAGAGCTGAACTTTCACTTAACACGGATTTTTTCCACATATACGCGGTGAGTGTCCGGCTCGAGACGCTATTTTTAGATTTGCCCCACCCGCCACCCTGCCTGACTGCCTGTTTTAGCTCATAAAATTCAAACAAATTACCCGGCCAGAATATAATTTACATTGCTGGAATTCTTATAATTTGGTGATCATTTTGAATATAAACATCATATATTTTGCATTAGACATACAAATTTTAGATAAAAATTTTCTCTGAGTAATTATGTTATCTTTTGTGCAAAATATATGACATTTATATTCAAAATATTCCTGGTCTTACAAGGAATCCAGCAATGTCAATTGTATTATCCTAACTTTAGTTTGAGGTATTATTTATTAAAATTTAGTGGTTTTCCCCCAAAAATTTCTCAGAGAGGGAAGAGCCGGCAGTGTAGTGTGAGAGGGGGAGGGAGTTGAGTCCATTATTTGAATGGACATTAACTTGGCGACTGTATTTCTCTATTTCTCTTAAGTATTAATTGTGTGCATGTACCATCATAAAATTAAGATGTTATTTTTACTACAACATAGTTATGTGTCTTCAAAAAGTGGAGTTTGGGGGTCGGGCCAGTTTCTATTGGAATTAATCCCATATGTTCTGTTGTTCACTTAACGAGGATTTCACTTAACACGGGACCCTCTGGGTTCTATTGACCGCGTTAAGTGGGGTACAACTGTATTTGGGACAATTTCTTATACGACATTGGGTCAGCATGGCGACCAAAACACATTTTCTTTGTGAAGTCGTTTAGATCGTTGTGACAATCCCTTGCCTTTAAGTCACTCAGTGAATGTCGCTGTGCCCTCCTGGGTTTGTCTTCACTGAAAGAGAATATGTGAATATATCTAATTATATATACATATACAGTATTACCCCGCTTTACACGGTTTCACTTTCCGCGATTTCTCATTTACGCGGTACCTTGCCAGAACCGGACTTTCACTTTCCGCGGTGCATCTACTCATATACGCGTGAAGTATAATTTTTTTATATTTTTTTATTTAGCTTATAAAATTCATACAAATTACCCTGCCAGAATATAATTTACATTGCTGGAATTCTTACAATATGATGATCATTTTGAATATAAACATCATGGATTTTGCATTAGACATACAAATTTTAGATCTAATGTAATAATTTGGTTTACACAAAGGAAGTATTTTATCTTTTGTGCAAAATATATGAAGTTTACATTCAAAATATTCCCTGACCTGCAAGGAATCCAGAAATGTCAATTATATTATCCTAACTTTAGTCCGAGTTATTATTTATTACTAAAAATGTAAATTACTATTTTCTCCCAAAGCTTCTCTGGTAGGGAGGGTTGGTGGGGGGGGGAGGGAGGGACCGACCGACCATCTGGCGCGGTTGGAAGAGGGGGGGAGGCAAGGTGGGGTACTTTGATTGACAGATAGTGTGTGAAGAATATATTTTTTTATGAGCTGAAGATATTTGTTTTAGCTCATAAAATTCATACAAATTACCCAGCCAGAATATAATTTACATTGCTGGAATTCTTACAATTTGATATCATTTTGAATATAAATATCATACATTTTGCATTAGACATACAAATGTTAGATCTAATGTAATAATTTGGTTTACACAAAGCAAGTACAGTCATCCCTCACTTTACGCGGTCCCACATTCCGCATTTCCACGTTTACACAGTGCCCTGCCAGAACCCAGGATGCTCACATTCCGCGGTGGGTGTACCCCTTTACACGGGTGAAGTATAATTTTTTTATTTAGCTCATAAAATTCATACAAATTATCCGGCCAGAATATAATTTACATTGCTGGAATTCTTACAATTTGATGATCATTTTGAATATAAACATCATAGATTTTGCATTAGACTTACAAATTTCAGATATAATGTTTACTCTGAGTAAATATGTTATCTTTTGTGCAAAATATATGACATTTATATTCAAAATATTCCTGGTCTTACAAGGAATCCAGCAATGTCAATTATATTATCCTAACTTTAGTCCGATTTATTATTTATTACTGAAAAGGTAAACAGTCTGGTATTCCCAGTCTGGTAGGGATGGTGGGGGGTGGGAGAGAGGGAGGAACCGGCGACCGACCACCTGGCACCATGGTGTGAAGAATATTATTTTTTTTTTATTAACTGAAGATATTTGTTAACCTACAAATTGACAATAACACATTTGCTGTAATCTAATCAGACATATCTAGTTGCCTCAACAATTGCAACTCCAGTTGCAATTGGGGTTGTAATTTCAAATTCTGTGTCATTACTAATGAATAACGAAGTCTCTGGTGCACTGCACTCTAAGATTAAGAGAAACCAGAAGACTCAGGCGTTCTGAAGTGAGAGAAAACAGACTCCTATGACAGGGCACTCAAATAAAGAGACATGGCTACATGTTTTGTGGACTACCCACTTTACAATATCCTTTTCATCACTTTGTAATAAACTTAGCCATGCCTGTGTGTGTTTATGATATTCTCCATAACATTATATATATATATATATATATATATATATATATATATATATATATATATATATATATATATATATATATATATATATATATATATATATATATATATATATATATATATAGTGGGTCTAAATGGTCGTAAAATGGGAAACTTGGGGTTGGGTGCCTGGATCCCCCATTAGAATAAATCCCATAGGTTAATGTAATTTCAGACAACGTCCATTTCGGTTAACATCACGTTTCCAAGAACATATCTAGGACGTTAACCGGCGCATGACTGCATTTCAACCTGCCCCTGGTTCAAACACACCTCCACCATCCATCCAGCTTAACGGTACTACGCTCTCTAATGTTACCCACTTTCAGTATCTTGGCTCCCACCTGTCCACCACCGCAAACATCGATGAAGAGATTCAACATTGGATCAGATGTGCATCTCACGCCTTTAGCAGAGTCCGTACCCATGTCTTCAGCTGTAGGGAGCTGAAATTATCTACAAAGTAGCATGCATATCAAGCAGTGGTCCTCCCCACCCTGCTATATGGCAGTGAGACATGGATCACATACAAGAGGCACCTCAATGCACTTGAAAACTTTCACCAACGTAGTCTACGTTCCATCCTCCATTTAACTGGGAAGACAAGAGAACAAATGCCAGTATTCTCGTTTGGGGACCGATGGTAGAAGCGGTACCGTTCTTGCCTCGCAAGCGAGATGTCACAGGTTCGATTCCCGGGCCGGTGGAAGATGTTTGGACTTAATTCCTAGCCCCCATTAGTCCCTGTTCACCTAGCAGTAAAGTAGGCACCTGTTGTAAGTCGAAAGTTGCGAATTCATATTCAGGGAGTTGTTGGAGCTTCCAATAACTTGATGACATAAACCACTGACTCTTCAGGCTTCTACGCCCTTAACTCATGAGACATAAAAGCAAGCATGAACTTAGCA